TTGCGAAAATTGGCCATAACCAATCTTTCCATCCATTAAAAAGCATATCACAGTAGTTTGTTCTTCCACCAAGATCTCGCCCAAATCCAAAACAGCTGGATTGGGAAAATGGAGGTTAGGCTCTTGGCGTTTATAGTTTCGAGACGCGCGGAAAACAATGGCAAGCAGCGCGAAGTTCGGAGGAAGTTCTGTCATTGGCTCTCGGGTGGTACGTTCTCACAACAGGAGCACGAGATTGGCTTGAAAGGGCATAAATTTGTTGCGTCCCCTCATTATCCATTTGATTTTGATCAGGAATCTGCATACTGTAAATATGTTTTAATGCTTCAACTTTAATTGGAACTTGCCGCATGTAGCTACGAATGGATGGATGAATTTCTATGTTGCAGTCCTAATTTACAGAATCTCAAACCTTACCTCTCTGAGTTGGATATCTCACAAGTTATATCTTTCGTTACAGTTATTTTTCAGATGGATAGCATAAAACAAAGCATAGAGGAGGTAACAGAGCAGGTGAAAAGCTTGACCGCGGAACTGACTGCATTCACAGAAGAATCTAGGAGATCGGAGCCGACCACAACAGCCGTGACACGGCCAAAGATTGAGAAAATGAGCGCAGAGGTATGACTTAATTTTTGAAAGCATAGCAGTAATGTAGCCATTTGAAAAACCTTATTGTGCGTTTCATAGGTTGTTGATTCTAATCCCTACAGTCGCCTCATGGCCCTGAAACGAATGGGTATTGTCAAGGATTATGAGAAAATAAGGGAAAAGACAGTCGCTGTAGTGGGGATAGGAGGTTAGTCTAGAGTTTTGTGTTGTTTTTTCATCGGTTGATTATCTTTTTTTTTTGCAGGTGTTGGCAGTGTTGTGGCTGAGATGCTCACCAGATGTGCTATTGGGAAGCTTATTCTTTTCGACTATGATAAGGTGGAACTCGCAAATATGAATCGGTTATTCTATCAACCTCATCAGTCTGGTCTCAGTAAGGTCGAGGCAGCGAAAGATACGCTAACGTATGTTGTTTATCTCTTGCTTCGTATCATAAATTTTCAAATGTTTCCTTCCATTATTTTGAGCTATCAATTTTCAATTTTTGACACTTTGTTTTCTATCATGCATGCTTCTATACAGATTATATTGTTTTCAGTCACATCAACCCCGATGTTGTTATTGAAACTCATAACTATAACATAATAACTGTGGAAAACTTCAATAA